TGATTAAGCAATCATGACCTATTTAGTTTGATTTATAATGAAAAGGAAATTTATGGTATGTTAATGAAAGATCTTGGCATAGTTTAGCTTGTGGTAGGACTCAAACTGGAATAGGACAAGATGAGTAGGGGTAATTACACAGCAGACTACAGTTGTCTAATTTATGGAAAGATAACTAGACAGCAGCAGGTCAAGAGATCATTTATGTCCAGGATTTGCTGTGACCATTGTTTTTATCTTAGTATTTTATGTGCTTTGATTTCAAAGAATTGGTTACTTACTGTCTTTTTGTGTTTTGTGGGGAAATTGAGTAGTTTTGAGGTAAAAAGATAGGAGACACTGGAGGAGACACTGAATTTCTTTTGTAATTTTATTCAAATTATATCCTTCATTTTAATATGTGTTCAGCCCTAGCTAACCCATGAAATATCCCTACCAATCAAGCCCCCTGAATTGCACCACAGAGCAAATGGTAGACTTACAGAGGGGAGGTTTTGGAAAGGATTTTAAAACATTTCATCTTTTCAGAAATTCTAAATAATAATGATAATATGTTTATCCTATACAAAGAGGAATACAATTCTGATATTTTAAAGTACACAGTGTTGGAAAACTGAAGTTTAGTCTATTATTTATTTACTCTTTGGTTTTGTGTTTCTGAAACTTCCAGACTGTTTTCATCAGTAATGACTATCTATCTTTTATGTGGAACCTGTTTTGGCACCACTGAGTTCAGAAGTGTTAGTGAAGATTAAAGATCTAATTTAAGAAGACAACCATAGCCAATCACACACAATTGCTCATTCTTCTTGCCTTTCTTATCAAACCAGGCAGGAAGCACAGTCTTCTTTTTTAGATTCAAAGTGGTAAATTTGTGTTTTGATAACACATTTAGGAAAACTTGGAAGAAAATAAGTAATTTTTTTTTCTTTAGGAAAGTGGTCTTTTTAAAATCCATTAAAATAATGTTCTTTTAAATTCCTTAATAGAAATATATTTGTAATATAAAGTATCTTCTTCTAAAAATACTATTGAGTTAAATTTTTTGTATTGTGTGTAAAAAATGCTTTAAGTCAAAACATTTTGGAAGACATGCTTTTCTCCCTTTGATGTTTAACATTGACTTTCAAATTAGTAAGACATGACAAGAGAAATGTGCGTGAATAAACAATAGAATACCTTTTATTTGGCTGACAGAGAACCTTACCCCAAAGTACTGAAAATCCCCTTTGTCAGTATGACAGCCAAACAGCTAACCTCTATTAAATATGATCTATTTCTTAAAGAACACACACACACCTTAGATCACAAAGGAATTTTATTCAGCCCCCAAAAGGAAGGACATATGTAATCTTAAAAACAAAACAAAACAAAAAACCACACATCATGTTCAACAGAGAGTGGAAAGATTTGCAAGACGCTGGATGGTGGAGCAAATAGACATTATAAAGGCTACAAACATTCAGTTGTAAGCGGAATAAGATCCGAGGAGCTACTTTATAATAGAGCGAATACAATTTATAACACTATCTGATACAATTAAAACTTGCTCAGAGAGTAGAACTTAAATAGTCTCTCTTAAATTTATATATGACTTGCATACTGTATACATAGCTCAAATCATCAGTGTAACACTGAGTATCTTACAGTTTTGTCAGTTATGCCTCAGTAAAGCTTTTTTAAAAAAACACCTACCCATTCAAGCCAAAGTGAATCTCTGAAAAGTTTATTTTCCTATTGGTTTTCATTGAAACATGGGAAATTTGTTTGTACTCAAAAACATCTCCCCATAAACAATCTTCCATTAATTCATGCATACAGTGTACTCTGAGTTTGAGTTGCTATTTGCTCTCTGTTAAGCCTTTGCCAAAGCCCCAGCACCAGACCAGAAGGCAGCCTTGTTTGGGAAGGGCAGGTCCTCACAGAGCTAATTTTTTCAGCATCACTTTAGACTCCACAAGGACGAACTTGCCTTCAGACCCCTATTGGTATCCTCCAGACTTAAAAACTTCACTTTGGAGAGTCCTGATTCTGTCCCTGTCACTGAAGATTAGATATCAAACTGGATTCTCATCCTTCATGTGTTCTTGCTCTGGTTTATTCAGGCCTTGGGTTGGCTCCTACTCTCAGAAATTTCAGAGAAATCAGAAAACCAAAGCAATAGAATCCAGACTTGGAAAAGTCCAAAATTGCCACATCATGAAAAAATGTTTGCAAGAAACGCTGCAAGGAACTGAAAGGACAGGCACCTAACACCGATTTTGTCCTCTTCCTTTCTGTTTTAAAGATTTATTTTTATTTATTTATGACTAGAGAACTAGGTGTAGTCCAGAGCTTCTTAAAGCATATGCTCTCAATTTTTTGACTTCTCAAAGCACAGTTGATAGCAAGCTGAGGTCATCTAAACATTTTGACTATTTTAAAAAAGAAATATATAGTAGTTTTCTGTTTTTTTCAGTTTTCAAGTTAATCATGGTGTGACTTATCTTTGACTTAAACTAAGGGATACTAATTATTAAAAATACATCTTCCATATGATCCAGCAATTCCACTCTTAGGTATATATCAAATGAACACAAATTACTGATTTGAAGAGGTATATGCAATTTTTTGTTCATTGTAGCACTGTTTACAATATCCAAGTTGAGAAAACAAATACCCAGTGACAGTAGTTGGAATATATGTACGATGGAGTACCACTAGGCTATCAGAAAGAAAAAGATGAACTGTTGCCATTGGTGACAACATGGGAGCCTTTCACATAACTGTGTGTTATGTGAAATAAGTCAGAAGGAGAAAGACAAATGCCAAATGATTTCACTCATGTGGAATACAGAGAAAACAGACAAAAGAACTGGTGAAGTAAACCAAAAAAAACCCTTGAAATGTGAGTGCAGAGCTGAAGCCACTGGAGAGGGAGGAGGCTGAGTGAGGCAACAGTAGTCTGGGGTTGTAAAGGACTGTGGGTGTCTGGATGATGGGGTTGGGGTGGTAGCTACTGAGAAGGCGTGAGCCTATTCCCTTAAATTGCTGTAAACCAATAACGGAAGAAAAAAAGAGAGAGAGAGAGAGAGAGATGCTCTTAATCTAAAATGCTAAATACTATTTCCATTTAAATTACAAGGTGGCCAAGTGAATCAGAAGATTGGTGTTTAAATTGATTTTCAGTTTTGAATATTTATATAATAGGGCTGCAAAACATTCATTCAAACTATGTACTGAATGAAATCCATGGCACAATGCAAGGAGATGAAGACACAACTACGTGCACTTCCTTGGAGCTGACCAGGGGCCTAACAGGGTTTTTCTTCGAGATGCAGGCACCTAGTCTCTGGATAGGGGTGTGTATTTCTTATTACATTTTAAGCTGAGCCAATTAGGATCAGAAGAGAGTTACAGGACGTCGGAGATGCACCAGTCCAGAGGGAGCCTTCACTTAGACTGAGCAGTGCGGGTGGAGCTCCTGGGAGCTTGTACTCCTGGTGCAGTCGCCTATTTTTCATGGGGTCCTGCTTTCTTTGTTCTTGGAAATCTCTTCCTCCCATATAACCCTTTCTCATTGCCTAACCGCTGAAAATCTCTCTCCCTCAATTATTAGTTTCTAAGTAATGTATGTAAGATGATTGCTAATCCTTTAAAAAGAAATGTGAAGTTTAGTCTGCCAGAAAATTGTAAAAAGATGTAAAAATATGTGTAGGGGGGAATGAGCATCTTAGAATTCTTGAAATATAGTATTATTACAGCTGATCCTTGAGTGTGGGGGGATTAGGGATCCCCCAGAGACTGCACCCCTCCCACATACCAAATGATTTCACTCATGTGGAATACAGAAAAATTGTGTTTAACTTATGACATCACCAAAACTAAACTACTAAATAGTCTGGAAGTCTTTCCAATAACAGTGATTCACATATATTTCATATATATATTGTATTCGTACAGTAAATTGAGCTTGAGAAAAGAAAATGTTACTAATAAAATCATAAGGAAGAGAAATATTATTTAAAGTGTATTCTTTAAAAAAAAGATTTATTTATTTGCTCATACAGAAATGGGATACAGGCTAGAGGTATGGGAGGGAGAAGATTCATCAGAGACAGCAGGGAACAGAACAAGCAGACTGATGAGGTACATTGCTGAAGGGAGCAGCGGGCAAGACAGGAGAGGTCTGCTGCACCATGTGGGTCACCTCCCTGGCTGGGAATTGAACTGGTACTGAAGCAGCTGCGGCTAGCTGCCTAGTGCTGCACTTTAACCCATTGTGCCAGCAGGGAGGGCCCTAAAGTGTATTATTCTTACTCTCAGTTATATTGCTTGTTTGCAAGTTGAGTCTCTTGTCAGTATTTACATCAATATTATCTCACTGATGGTACAAAATACTGTAGATTTATGTCTTACTAACACTAGGTATCAACAGCGAAAAGATTATGTGAAAAATAAGTTTCTATTTATAGACCAGTATAACAATTCATGCATAGTTAATGAGAAACTGCAGTATAATTGCTTCACCATAGCATAGTGTGATCTATATGATTGTTGAGCCTACACCTAATGAATTTTTAAATTTTTTTTCAATATTTCTAGGCTATAACATTCATCTGTGAGGTCTTTCAATATCAATATCAAAAACAATATCAATATAGTTAGTGGAAAAAATCCATATATGAATGGCCCCACACAATTCAAACCCTTGTTGTCCAAGCGTGAATTGTACTTCTCTCCACAAACACTGGCACTAAGGAAGTTCACCTAACTCACCTCAAATGCCTTTCATCTCCAAGGCCACAAGACATTCAGCTAGCAGGCAGGCACAGTAGCCCGGATGAGCCTTTCCCTCAATGAAGGGTGCATCATCCCAAAAATGGATAGATACAGTTACCCCTATAAATCATCTTTTTCCTAATTCTGAATTGTCAGAGAGAAGGAGAGAGGACAGGAAGTGTTTTATGGACTGTGGTGATATGTAAGTGGTCTTAACTGTTACTCTGTTTTACTCACAGCTACAAGAAGACACAGGAAACCCTGAGTCATGCAGGGCAGAAGGCGACTGCAGCTTTCAGCAACGTGGGGACAGCCATCAGCAAGAAGTTTGGAGACATGAGGTACTGTGGGAAAGAACCAGGGGAGTGGTGTGAAGCCCTTGTTTTCCTAAAAAAGGGGAACATTATTGACTTGCTGGACTTTCTAAAATATTAATTTTGGGGGGGATAGAAATTATGTGACTGAGATAAGTTATTATATAAACCTTCCTTGACTTATAACCAGGTTGATGGGGATTCTGTCTTATTTCTGTGTAAGTCAAAGATGCATTTTATACATCTAAGCTTAGCCTAGGCTTCCTTAAATGTGCTCAGAACGCTTACATTAGCTTACAGGTGTGCAGAATCGTTGGTCACAAAGATTGTTTTATAATAAAGTGTTGACTGCCTCCTGTAGTCAAATTACTATAATTTACTGAGAGTGAAAACCAGATGGTTGTCTGGGGACTCAGAATTAACAGGCACAGCTGAACGCAGAAGGTTTTTTGAAGCACAGAGCTATAGTTCATTGCTGGATAATGGGGTTCTGGTCATCAAGCTCCCTTTTGATGATGCTCAAGCATAGCTGGTAGAACATGCTGTAGAGATAGAGCTGTTGACACTGGTGATTGCTTGGCTGACTGGGAGCTGTGGCTTCCAGAGAGTAACACGCTGCATGTCATTAGCCCAAGAAAACATAAGAACTCAAATTTTCAAGTATGGCTTCTGCTCAGTGTGCATCACTTTTCACACCATTGTGAAGTTTAAAAATCATAAATTGTAACATTTTCCACCTGAAGGTCAAGCATAGGTGGGTCCCAAAGATGGGATCTGGCCTATTAAAAGCAGAAAATAGAGGTGCCTTTAATCAGTAGTAATGAGTAGAGATTTCAAAAGAATGCAGCACATACTGAATCTTAACCATTGTGATTTAAAGATAATTTAAAATATATGTTCAGTGATAACCTGCACTAGATTACCTTTTTTGGTGCATATCAACTTAGTATATATTTTTTCTATCTAAACATGTATATATTTGTTATTCCAAAAAAGATATTCTATGTATAACATATACTTATAACAGCTTTTTTTACTTTACTAATATATTGTGATGATGTCCATATATATATTTCTTAAGCCTTTAAACCTTTATTTTTGATAAATGTATTAATCTTCCAGGGCATAGTTTCAGCAAAACATTTAAACAAATCTCCTTGCACATTTTTGTTATTTTCAGTGTTTCAATATTATGTGAAATAGGATGAATATCAAGGTAAATTTTGAACAAATGTTCTCACTATCAGCACCAGAAAAACAATGTAGCATTATTTTTTTTTACTTTTTATATTATATACTTAGAAATTATCTTATGTAGAGTTTACTACTCAAGTATTTTTACTTGCTTAAGTGCCCATTATAATTTAATTTGAATTTGACTAATAATGCTTAATAGATATTTTTATAAATCATTTTTGTTCTCTAGAAATCAAATTCATATTTTTAGCTTTCAAGTACATTTCAAATTTGTTACTTAAAAAAAATGCATATAATTTCACTGAATTCTTAAGATAGTATTTTATCTTCCTGTAATTTTGATACCTAAAGGCAAATATCTATATCTTCGTGTTTCCGTTATTTTTGGCTTCAAGAATTGTTGAATTGTCTCATATTCATGCACCAACTAGCATGGTGGCATTAGGAGCTAAAAAAGTTAATTAAATAAGTGCATGTGCCTGAATCTGAATACACAGGTTTATCTTCATTTTTACTAATGCAATAGCGAAAAGTCATTGACATTCCTCAGAAGCAGCATTTGATGAACAGATAAACCTGTTGCATTAGTAATTAACCCTAATAATATTAGAAATAAAACTTGCAACCACTTCACTGGCATTAGAACATTTATCTAATAGAACATAAATCATTCCATATAATAGGAAAGACCTGTTCTATATCTTCATGTTAATAAAATTTGTTCTTTACTGACTTCCTTGGAGCCTCTCATTTGAATGCCAGGACCTCATAATATTTAGAACAGTGTTTCTCCAACTGTAGTAGATCTTATAAACATCTCTGAAGTTTTTCCAAATGCACATTTCAGTTTCTACCTTTTAAGATTATGCCCCCAGCAGGTCTGGGAAGAGCTGGGAAATCTGCATTTGTAAGAAGTTCCCACATCAGGTGTTTAGGTTTTAAGGAGACCACATCTAACTACTTACCCTGAATGTTCTCAGTTCTGAAATGGGATAAGTAAAAAACCCTATCAAATTATTATAAAAGTAGCCGAAAAGAGCCTGCTGTGAATCTAGTGCTCAATAAATGCTAGTTTTTAATCTTTACTAAGTGAATCTCAATTACAAATTGGCTCTATAATGAGGGAAAAGTACATTAATAGGAGTGAATAATACTTGCTTTGCTTAGTAAAGAACAAAGACTGTATTTTACTGAAATATTTGTGTTCATACACATTGAGTGTAATATCAAGATTGTGTTGACTGCCTTTTCTCTTGTTTCAATGAAACATTGTTTTAGTGTAATAGGTATTTCCTAAGAGTTCCAAACTGTTCATTTATTATTGCCTTACAGAAAGGACATACTTTCATTAAAACTTGTAGCTGAAAATATTGGATAAATGTGTTATTAGAGACTCAAATATGGCCCTGAAATATTTTGTACAGTTTGCGAAATTCAGAGCTATATTTTTCTCAAGCTTATAATATCTAATATTTGTTTATAAACGAGGATACATTCCTGTGAAAAGCTTTAAATTATGTTAAACAAGTAATAATATGTAAAAGTAATATTTGAAAATTGCTTAAAGTTTAACTTGATTTGCAAATGAGAAATATTAGTCTTGATTTTTTTATTGATAATATGTATTACAGATTTGCTAATTTGCAAACTGATAGTGGGCAATTTTTAAAATCTATTTCTATTTTACTTTTTACAATTTGGGATAAATCTCTTCAATTATTTTTATTTAACTGTAAAATATATTTTGTCTCATTTGTAACTGGAAAGGGAGATTCTGACCCAGCTCCTTGGCAATATGAGTGCAGTTTTCACCTGCTGGTTCACCTTCTGGGAGCCAAGAAGCTTCGCTCCAGGCCAAACCCCCAAAAGAAATCTGGACCCTTGAGTACCTCAAGACTAAGATTAGAATGAGGAATGTGAGATGCCTGCTAAGGATAAGATTTATTGAAAAGCGACAGAGTAAGAAAGAGCCCTATGAGAACTCCTTAAACAAAAGGGCTCCTGGTTGATCCAGGTTATGGGACTAAACAGGTTTTATTGCTGGGGTTTGAGCCCAGTGTGATCCATATTTTGTTGCCAGTTGTGAGCACCGCTCAGTTAAAGCTCAGTGGTTGTGCCCAGCTCCAGACTATTCCATGGGTGAATACCTCATGAAGAAAGGGTGTCCTTTCCAGCCTGACCCAGTCTAATGTAAGCTGCAAAGACAACTGGAATGCACAGGCTTGGAACAAACTAGAAAAACAGAAACCTAAAGGCCACGGAAGGGCAGCAGGCATCTGGGCCTGCAGTCAGATTTCTTTAACTTTCTGTGTACCAGCTCAATAAAACCAATGGCAACAGCAAAGTTCTGTCCTTGAGTCCTTTCTCCCTGTCTCTGTGCCCCAAGCCTTTTAGAGAAACACAGGACTCACTCTCACAGATGTATTATCTTTAAGAAAAAGTGTATTTAAGTATATATACTCCTAAGTATACATGTTATCAGAGAAATTTATGCTATGGAAAGTAGACCACATTGCATACGAGTTAATAATAATTAAAATGATAAATCAGAATGTGAAAACCTCACATTTGGAACTTTAAAAATTGAACCAACAATATTATGTTAGGATTTATTTGTTTTTGTAAAAATAAGCAATATTTTCAAACTATGATTTTCATCCTGATTCCATTAACTCCCCTTGGCCCAATCTCTGTCTTTTTTCTCCATCTGTAAAGTAATACTGTTAATAGCAGATCATTATAGTAATATTTGCATCTTGTAACTTTTCAGTGATTATTGTTCAAACTAGGGATGACATGTTTGGAGGAAGCTGATTATCTCATTAGGAGTCCACCACCTCTATCCAGGAATGTTATAGTTAGAAGCATAGTTTACATAACAAATTGGTAATTGTTAAGATAATTGTTAAGCACATACAGACCAAAAAAATGAGTGTGCTCAAAAAGGCCAGTCAATGGATTTACCTCATCTTTGCTGCGGGAACTTGAATGGGCAGGGAGGCAATTTCTTCCATCATGAGTGCTAACTCTACTCCTCCTTTCTCTCCTTGCCTCCTGGGCTGCAGGTCCCACTCCATAGGGTAAGCTCTGCCTTGGGGGTGTCCCGTTACTCCTTCCCTCCTCCCTCCTTCCCAGAGCCCATGTTTTCCATGCAGCGGATGTACTGCAAATAAAAACCCAGATCTCTTTTCCAGAGGGTATCAAGAGACAGGGCAGTTGCAGTTTTGAGGGCACCTAGTATATTTGAATTTCTTTACGCACGTGTTCCTCTCCTTTCTGAAACACTTACCCTAGTTTCGCTGGCCGAGTGGTCTCCTCAGGTAGTCATTCTGCCTCCCACTATCCTACACTGGCAAAGTTAGTTTGGTTGCAATAAAACGAAAAGTGGAAAGTGAGAGTTGTATGTATTTTATAAAACGTTGAGAAGGGGCATCAACATATCATTTTGTTTTCTAGATTGCCCTGTTTTTCTGAATTTCATGTTACTGTTCTTTTTGCAGATGGATCCCCTTCAGTTTACTGAAATTAGAGAGGAAAAAGGTCACTGGAAAAGCACAGTTGTTAGTCCCAGGCCTCTGAATTAAGCTTTCTTTGAAATGGAGTTTTGTTATATAGTTTTGGGGGGGATTTTTATTTTCTGAAGAAAAATACCTTGATAAGGCTGATGAATTACTTTGAGGAATTTTTGTTAAGTGTAACACCCCGTCAAATATTCTGCCCATGGTTTCTGAATGTTTAAGGGAAAGCCACAGAATGTCTTGAGTTTCTTTGGTCTTCTTTCCCCTTGAGTTTTAGTAAAGTTTCCATAACCTCAGGGAGTGCTAGCCCCTCAAAAATAGATCTAGTTTTGTTTCCTCTCTCCGCTCAGCCTGATTCCTGAGTGGAACTTGCATAGACATAATAGGCATTCAGTTAGAGAGAAGATGAGTCAGCTACTATAGAATTAATTGTATGAGAAGATTGAAGTTCTTCGCATCCTCAGAAATGTGAATATTTGCACCAAAGTTTCTAGAACAGATGCAGAAGTATCTGCTCCAAGTCAGACTCAATTGCATTCATCTGGCCTGTATTTCCTTGATTAGCTCTTGTTATCCTCAGTAGAGTTTCTCCACAAGCCAACAGTTAGCTTTTATCTGCCTCACTGTACTCCCTAGGCAGTGCTTTCTGCCCTATATTGTCTTCCTGAACAGGAAATGGGGGTGGAGAAGGAGCTGGACCCCAGAACTTGTCCATTGGCTGCTGAACTGACCTGGGGAAACCATAGCTTCTTCTCAACTTTCTGGAAGCCTACAGAAAGTAAAATAACATGCACCCATGAGCGATCTACTCTTCCTATATGCCCTTGGAGGCTGACCATGGCCTGTGCTATCCAACAAAAAACAAATGTCATGTTGGCAGGGTGGGCAGGGTTAAAACTGTTCTTTTATACTATGATAGGAAGTTTCTCATGTACTAATATTGTGCTGTCTTCTTTTTTCCCTCTAACTGCTTTTGCCCTGAAGCTACTCCATTCGCCATTCCATAAGTATGCCTGCTATGAGGTAATGTGTGCAAATTATTTTACATCATTTTAGTATAGAATGTGTAGGAAGTGCTATTGATGTTTGCTTGGTGAACTTTTCCTTCCTTATATGAAAGGAAATGCCCTACCTCACTGTCTTTCTGAAGAACCTTGGGAGAAAAGGCTAACAATGCTAAAGAGTAGTGTCACGGGCCTGGGCTTTTGACAAGACGTGTTGGCTTAAATCCATCCTCTCCAGATTATTTGGTTTAAATCCATCCTCTCCAGATTATGTCACCTAGGACACGTTACTTAATCTGTCCCAATCTCCAATCTCTTATTCACATACTGTGAGAAATAAGACCTACTTCACAGAGTTGTTGTGGCACATGGACAAAATAACCTGTGTGAAGCACAAAGAACAGGGGCCCAGAAAATTCTATGTACTCTTGCAAAGGTAGAAATACATTTCAGCAGAATTAAATGCAACCCCAGGAGAAAGCTTATTTATGTATTTATGTATGTATTTCCTGTCTTTGTCTCATATTACTTATTTTTTTTTGTTAAGTTATATTTGTTGAGGCAGTGTTATAGAGGCTTATACTCTACAAATGTATGTTATTTCACCACACCCACCACCAAAGCCTCAATAATGAAAGAATAAAAGACTAAGAGGTCTACAATTCTAGAAAGGTCATTCTTAGAATTTCTTAAGGTAAATATTAAGATAAAGTGTCTGGTAAACAATAAATATGTGATTAAAATTACTGGCCTTGGCTTTTGACAAGATGTGTTGACTCAAATCCATCCTCTCCAGATTATGTCACCTGAGATAAAACTTCTGAGAAAAACATTCTCTGTCAGATTTTATGGATTAGTGATACGATAGGGTAAGGTCACACAGGTAGTGATATAGAGGAACAAGTGTTAGACCGAAAATCAGAAGATGCAGGTGACAGACCAGCTCTGCCATGCAAGAACTCTGTGGCGTTGGAAAGGCACCTTAGTATTGTCATTGCATCATGCTTACAATAAAAAGCTAGGAGCAGAGTTACTGCTCAGGCCTCATGCTCCCTGGAGCCCTGAGATCTGCTTTGAGGTGCCATGGTGGGGGTAAAGTGGAGTTACCAACCTTAGGGTCCTTTTCCCTTCAGTAAAACTGTGTGTCTTCTACCTACTTTGTATTATATGTTGTGGTGTGAATATGTCCTGGAGAGAGTTCAGTTACTCTGTTGAGTTTGGGACCACTGAAGCCAGATGCCTTCTGGGTTCATTTTCAGTGCTAAAAGTTTGTGGTTGTATATGATGTGATTAAATCTGAGTGAAGTTTCTCCTTGTTCTACAACATGGATTCTATCATAATTTAGTTAGAGGAATGTCTGTTTTATCTTGTCTGATGATGTCTCTTCCACACTAGGGTCATTTGGTTACTTTGGAAATCTAACCAGAATATTTTGATTTCCCTAATATGGTGATAGAGAACTTTAATATTACTTATTCTGTCTTTGACTGACTTGTCCCTCCTAGCATGACACTCAGATTGAACAGTGCAACCTGTGACTCAGAGCTCCTTCACCTGTCAAATGTTATATTTGGGTGTCCAAAGAAGGCTTGGAAACAATTAACATGATTTTGTTCTCTGAACCAGGAATGCATCTAATATCATATGCATCGATGCAGCCCTAATGAACAGAAATTAAGTTTTTATTTTTAAACAGCATACTCCTCTGCTGTATGCTTATGATCCATCAGGCTGAGCCATCTGCCCTGATGCTATGTAGATAATGGATGACAAACCGTCCTGTGGGCTGGCTTGATGAAATAAAGCCTGCAGTGGACATCATGTGCTAATTAGATTATATGTTTGTTATTCCAGCCAGTATAACTTCACTAATATCTCATCATGTAACAGAGGTATTTGACTCATGTTTGAGTCACATGCAAGATGCCATGATGCTGTGCTCAACCCTTTGAACTGCTGTTGTTGAGTCATATAGTTTAATAATGCAAATGCATGTCTGATCATTGGAGCCATGTCTCAGGGGACACCCAAATAAAGTCAAGCTCACTCAAAAACTGCTCACTACGTTAGTTTCTTTTGATAGTGTTAGAGCCGTGCTTTATCCCACAACCTATGATGAAGCCCATGTCTATTTGTGGCTTATTCATCCTATTAAATAATATATATTCCATCTAGTTATGTTAAGCAGTAGATCCTTCATTTGGTACATTTTCTACATTGAGTTTGGCAACATGACATTAACATGACATTCTGAATTAATAACATCATTACCATTTAAAAACATCACCAAGTCCAACTAAAGAAACAGAATCTCAACTAACAAATGTATCATTTTCAGCTCATTCTCCTGTATGAAGTTTCTCTAGGCCATTCATCATTTTATTTCTTCTGCACTTGAGATTAACACATGGTTTATCAAATATTATGACATGCAGTTGAATTATTTGACCTGAAAATGGTGGTGATTGTTGTTTTTGAAAGCTGACACGGATACAAGATTTAAGATACATTTTTAGTTCAAATCCTGTTTCTTTAGTTGCACTTGGTGATGTTTGCAGTGGTAATGATGTCATTAATTCAGAATGCCATTTGGCCAAATTCAATACAGAAAATGCATCGAGTATCTACTGCTTAATATAACAAAATGGAACATAGATTATTTAATATAATGAATAAGTCACAAATAAAATGCCAATATACTGCAAAGGTTCTGTCTGTTAAGAGAACAAATAATTATAACCTTTTGGGGGAAGGAAAAGCCACAAGCACTAGATGATCTCAAATGAGACAAATAATGGGTGTATTTATACTTAAATTGTGAAAATATTGATTTTAAGAAATACCACCTCATGGAGGTTAACAAAAACGATTACTTTTTTAGCATGGACAAGAAAAAACTTCCAAACCCATTTGTCCCTGAGCTGTTTCTATATTGTCTTACAGTCCCTGAAAGAAGTGACTAAAATTCCAACTGGGAAAAGTTAAATGTTACATTCTTCAAACAGACTTCCCATTGCTTACTGAAAAAATGTGAGTTAGGAGTGTTGTGATAAAGCAATCAGTGAATGAAAAATCAAGCGATTACCCCTTTAAGTCATTGGAAATGATTTTCAATGCACTGCGGTGTGATGATAGCCACAGCCTTGCAAATGCTTTCATACTTATTCTGTAGTTGAATATTTTACATTGCACAATTCTATGTCAGGTTGAGGTTTCTGATCTTACCTAGTAGAAGTGAAATGTATTTTTAAAACATGGTTGGTGTAAGTGGCAAATGACAGCTAACTCTGGTACAGAGGTGATATTTACAACTAAGAGCAGAAAACCAGACAGCATGGTTGCTAAGAAGTAGGTCTTTGGAGCTGACCTCTCTTTTTCTATTTTAGGAATTCTCCTACTTTCAAATCTTTTGAGGAAAGGGTTGAGACAACTGTCACAAGCCTCAAGGTACAGAAGAAGTGAATTTTGTGTCATTGGGTCTATGAATCAGGACAGCTTAGTCATCGTTGTGGTTAATACAAAGGCAGGGTCACCAGAATTCCCTGCAGCCGAAAAGGAAAGCTTGCAGTCAGTCCTTTTCTTCACGTATCAATCTAAGTATAACCAGTATTGAATAGTGTTGTGTCCTCACAAAGTTGTTTATGTAAGCCATTCATTAGTGAACTGTTCATGAAGATGAATTGGGTTTGTGTTCATCTGTTCATTTAGTTAGAACTGTTAATACTCTGCCTTCCAAAGTCAGTTTGTGAGAAGGGATTGTGGACAGGACAAAGAGTATGTTCTGAATTTAGAGTGCAAGTGAAAGCTTAATTATAGCTTGAAGCTCTTCACTGTGGACATGGACTAACAAAACTGAGCGTGGCTCTAGGTGTTATCCTGCTGTCCACTAGCCTTCAGTTAACTAGATTTGCTTACTTAATTTCTGTACCAAGCACAGCAAGATTATCACAAGGGAAAATAAAACCGAGTCACAAAATGTATTCTTTTGTAAAAATACACAGATCCCTGGGTATGGCCGTCTTTGGCTTCATTAACCAGCAGTTTCTGTTGTGCAATTCCTCATTACTCTCCTTGTTGAGATCATCACTTAAAGTGCACAGGGACTGGTTGGTGCCATTAAATTGCTCCCATTTGTAGGGAAAACTTTTGACAGGGAGGAACATGCAGCATTGTGGACGTATCTCTTGCTGAACTGTCTAGTAACAAAACAAAAAGGTTAAAGAAACCTAGTAGTCAGTTTGTCAACATTTGGTTCTTAGCCTTAGACAATACAAGAAGAGAGATTCTTTTGCTTGTTAGACAAGTTCTGATGGAGGAGAAATTGTGCTTTTTAGGTTTTCTTTAGAAGAAGGAGATATGAAGAAGCAAAAGAATAAAGAACAGCCTATTATCATTTGCTTTTAGGAAATGCTGGTACGCTTACAGCTAACATGTGATTTCAGTGTTTTGATCCACCGTTTTAGCCTTTCACTTTTCTTAGCTTATCTGCAGATTAAATACTAACCAGTGTCAAGACCTCCTGAAAATGGATTCAATGTCTGCGTGATTCTCTATGGGTCTAACAAGGCTCACATCCCCTCATTTCCTCTGACATGGCCGGTGCCTGGTTCCTCTTTTTTCTGCCTACCCAGGCAATGGACAATAGCAAGTAATTATGCTTTTGTATGAGACCTCCCACTTCCCCAATAATTACAAACTACTGATTCATTTTTCCCCTGCCAGACTAAATAATAGATGTTTAACCTTTCATATATTTTCTGCATAGTTTACTTTTCGGAATCTCCAAATTTTCTAGAACTCTCTTCAATTATGGATCTGGACTCTGTTTCCTTCAAAGAAGCTGACTCATAAATCAGTCAATATGAGTGAAATTCTTTGCAGTCTTTGTGCTGCATTTCCATGCACATTTATGACTTTAAGGTTGATTTTTAAAACACCACTTGAAGAAAATCATACTCAGTTATTTGGGTTCTATTAGAAATAATGTTCTGCTGGTAGCTAAGGTTCATTCCTGCTACTTTCTCAGACAATATGTCACACACCATGTCGCATCTGCACCCAATCGATTGCTCTTCCTTTATACCTGACTCTGTAGATAGTTTGCTTTGCGATGAAACATTTTCCAGTTCATTGTTATCATTAAAAACCTAGCCCTTTCTTGTAATACATCAGTGTATTACTTCGTGGTATCTCAACTGACACCACCTATACAGTCAGTGAGCACACTACTGTCATCAAAACCAAATAGGCAGGCCCAGAACCAGCTCCTGTAAAACCACATTTGGTACATTTTCCCATTCACTAGTCATTAAAGAGTAAGTTAATTCCTTCCGACTGTTTACACCATATAATAAGATCAAGCAGACCATATAATAAGAGCATTACTTTTTGATGAGTACATTTCATGCCCTAAATTAAAACCTTAAAAAAATGTGAGATATGTTATATTTACTGTATCTATCTGTCCTCTCACCTCGCTATTCTGTTATACAAGATAGGAAGCACAGGTAAGTAACTTAAATGTTTTTATGCAGAGAGCAATTATAGTTGGGGCCAAAGTGACTGATTCTTGAATGAAAGCCTGTTGTGAAGAGGAGGGTTCTGGAGAGGTTTTTTGCACATGTCTTTGCTAAAGCAGGTCCTTACCTAAAGAGTACTTACTGTGTTGTGTAGTCATTAAACCCACATAGTTAGAAAACCTCTTTATTTTACTCTCCTCTTGCTTACTTGCATTACTTCAAAATACTCCCCTTGCTTTCAATTATTCTGTTTTGATTTGAGAAAATCTAGGGCTAGAGAAGAAGAATGAAACAGAACTCAGAAGAAAATGTCCATAACTGAATTCACCTGATTCAAACATCCGTGTGATTTCTATTGCCAAAAAAAAAAGAAAAGGAATTAAAAAAAAAAAAGTGAGGAGTTGGAGGGAATGGGAAGCAGTAATATGTTTTATTACTGTCAATTTATTATAGCAATATACTATATTACAGCTATTGGTCTTATTTCCCCAGGAAAGAAATAAACATAATGAAAAGCACATAATTAAAAACAATCACCCCTTCTTCCCAGTGCTAAGATAACAGATAATTAGTACTCTTGCAAAAGTTTGCCAGCTGAGGTTTGGGGGCTAAATCCAGCTGGTCACCCATTTCTTTTTTAAATATTTATTTTATTTATTTATGCACATAAGAACTGGGGTACAGGCCAGAAGTATGGTGGGGGGGGGGTGGCAGAGAGAGGATTCACCAGACACAGTGTGTGGAGCAGAACAGGCAGACTGATGGAATACACTGCTGAGGGGAGCAAGGGGCGGGTCAGAAGAGGTCTGCCACGCCATGTGGGTCAGCTCCGGGGCTGGGGATCAAACTTATGCCACTGTGGCTGTGGACAGCTTCACAGTGCTGCACTTAAACCTGTTGCACCATTAGGGAAGGCCCTGATCACTCATTTCTGAATGGCCAGGAGGTTGAGGACAGCTTTTACATTTTTTTTTAATGGCTAAAAAAGTCAAAGGGAGAATTATATTTTGTGAGATGAAGACATTACATAACATTTATATTTATGTGTCCATATATTGTGTTTTGAGAACACAACTGTGCTTATGCACTTACTTGTTAACTAAAGCTGCTTTCAGTAGTAACTGGCTTGAGTATTTGTGACAGAGATTATCTGGTTCCCAAGTTTAAATTATTACTATCTGACACTTTCCAAAACTAGTTTTCTGATTTGGAGCTTAGTGTAAAAAATTCAACTTTGTAATTGAATTTAAAGAGGCAAATAGGGATTTTAGTGACAACTGGAGAAAAGTGTGTGTTTGTTTTGCAGTGAATGAACTGCTTTTACACCCTGGCTGTTTTTTAAAGAGCAGATGAGACAGTGAAGGGTTAAATGGCCCAGTGAGATTTATTGAGATTTATATTTCTGTGCACAATCACTTTAGAGACAGTGTAGCATAAAAAGCAATTTGGGATGGCAAAATTATCTATTCTATACCTTCCTTTTCCTCAAAAGTGTTTTTCATATTGTTAATAACCATTAAGACAAGCTTGATCATTTGCATTAAACATTTTGGACCACTACATGTTCCTTCCTGGACATTTTTCAAAATACTTCACCATATTTCTTGATTCTAGATTGATTTCTCCATGATTCTCTTTAGCACCAGTAACAAGAACACAAAAAAAGGGGACCTTGCAAAGCATCATGACTTTGCATTTTTAGGAATATTAGTCCTCTAACAATAATTGTGTAGAAAGAAGTGAAATGACCATGCTTAAGATTTGATTTGAGTTCTCCAGCTCTCAAAAAAATGACCAGAAATATCATAAAATTGAGCCTCTTTGCCTTTTTCAAGAACTGTTTGTCAGAAAGCAAGGTTGTTTTGCTAAATCTCAAGTACAAAACCTAAATTGAAGTCACTTAAATATGTCCACATATTGGTAACATTGAGGGATTTTATCTAAAATTCGTTATCTTGATTAAATCGGTTCTCTTCGTGTGTAGATGGAACTTAACCCACGCTTCTAGGCATGGTCCTGGAGGGCTTGACAATCTTAGCTGTAGAGGAGGTGTACAAAAACGTTTGAATCCTCCCCCAGGACCCAAGTATGAATGCCTCCTAGCACTCTGCCAGAAGAAACATCTTCTCTCCATCCTTTTTATCTTTTCAAGAAACCACTGATTTCGGGACTTGAAAGTAATCAAACTTTGGCTCTCATAAAAAAAAAAAACACTGCAGAATAATAGTTAATGACTGTTTTATCGATTGTGTCTCTGCCGGTTTCAGACGAAAGTAGGCGGGACGAACCCTGGGGGAGGCAGCTTTGAAGAGGTGCTCAGCTCCACGGCACAGGCCAGCGCCCAGAGCGCGGAGACTGCCAGGCGCCCCGAAGAGGAGCCGCCCTGCTAGGGCCCCGCGACCCCTGCCGCCCCGCGGCCGCCTGCGTACCCCGCTGGAAAGACCAAATTCCCACTGGGAAAGACCCAGGCTTTGACCTTGTTCTTATGCCCTTTCCACAGTTTAATACAATAATTTCCATTTGTATTTGTGTTAATCATGGTGCCACTTGACCATCACACGTCAAAATTTTGATTGTCATATTTAAAATATCCCCAACTTAAGAACACAGTGGGTCTTAACCGTCTTCGTGTAACTGAACATGTATTTCCAAACACGAAGCTATTGATTGTTTGCTTTGATTTCTGCTTGGACTCCTACACAATATGCATGTCTTTGAAGGCTGAGTGAACCCCACTTTCAGTTCAGCCTGATCTCGGGGACTGGGGCTCTTTCTGCTGTCTCCAGCAATGGGATGACTCACTGAAGATTTCATCTAACTGCTTGTGATCGCCTTCACGTGTGTCAATTATGTTTGTTTACTTAAGCAATTAAAATAATTGATTTTAACGATGACTCTGAATTCTTACTTTTGTCTTAGAGGGTGATAGCTATGATTCTGAAGATAACGTTTTAAATCAAATTCTGCTGATATAGTGAAAATGAGAAAGTTTTTGTAATAATACCCCTAGTTACCTAAAGATGCCGAAACAACCTCCAATTCTGAAATTCTCTTAAATCTACATAGAGTAGGACTTAATCCAGGGAAGAGCTGTCTCAAAAGAGGGCATAGCTAGAAAATGGGGAAAAGCAGAATCTGGAAGCTCTTCCCATTTATAAATTATAAACAAGAGTGAAAAAAGCATCACAACCATATAATCAGTTATTTTTCCAACATTTTAAAAAGGTTTATTAGGGAAAGGTAAAAAGAAAATGTACCACCATCATTACAGGTGCACAGGATTGCTGCCCGGTTTTGCAAGCGGAAATACTGTGAGACGAAACAGCTGTGTGTTCGCTAGCAGGCAGGGTAGCTGCTTATAATCAGATTTCTGCATTAACTTTTACCCTCCGGATTCTGTCTTCTCTTCTTTTCTAAGTGGAAACAAACGTTCATTTTTTAGTATGTTGTGTAGGGCAACACCCGCTGATAAAGACACAGGAGTCGTGGAGCAGGCTACATAATGTAGGGTGCTGCTCAAGAACAAGATCCTGGCCTTTTTATTGATAAACTAGTCACACAGCATTAGTCATAAGAGGAAGCAGAAAAAGAGGGAGAAGTAGAAGAAGCTGGGGAAGGGTGGAACTATATATCTCATCTGCTGATTCCTTGGTATGTAGATCAAGCCCTGACTCCCCAGTCAAACAGCAAGGCCTTCCACTGATCAGCTTCTGGGGTCCTTCATTATAGATCAGTCACCAGCACCGCCTCCTGTCCCCCAGGTGTTCCCGGTCATACCTCATGATGCAGACCCTTCCCAGGGTGAGCCAGCTTTATGCTCTCAATCCATGTGAAAGGTTCCTCATAGAGTTGGGCTCCTGCTTTAGGAATAAAACTGTAGATAATAAAATGGAGGCTGGATAAGCCACCCAGCATTAGCAGACCCACATAGTAGAGAGGTGTATCCTACAGCTACAACTTTTTTTTTTTTTTAAAGATTTATTTATTTATTCATACAGAACTGGGGTACAGGCCAGAGGCTCAGGGGCGGTGAGAGGCTTCACCAGAGACAGAGTGGGGAGCAGAACAGGCAGATCCACGAAGTACACTGCTGAGGGAAGCAGCGGGCGGGTCAGGAGAGGTCTGGCTCGCCATGTGGTCTCCTCCGGGGCAGGCGGCAGGCGGGAATCGAACTCATGCGGAAGTGGCTTCAGATTCTCAGTGCTGTGCTTTAACCCGCTGCGCCACCAGGGAGGGCCCAGCTACAACTTTTAAATGTACGCTGAACAGACCTAACTGAAATACACACTTAATATGTATAATGTATAGAGCCCATGTAGTACCCATGTATGTCAGCATGTTAATTCTCTTTTAAAATTTATTGTGAAATAGAAATGAATAAATGTGACATTGAAATAAAGTCATCTAAACAAGTTTATTCAGATTAACAGAGTGGGTAAGACAGTCCATTCACATAACTGAAAATAAAGCTGCTTGGGAATCACATAAACTCTGAGATCTTAGCAGAGATAGGTATAGGGTGTTGAGTTGTGCCACAGAGAACAAATGGGATCCAAACCCCCTGCCTTCAGGGCGTCTAGACATTCTCCCTAATTTATTCTTCTTGCCTGTTGGTTGAAGCCAAACCTCGTAGGAGCCATGAAAGTTTTGTTTCCCAGATTTGACCGCGGCCTCCAGCACAGGTGGCCAGCACAGGTGGCCTAGTAGATAACATGCAGCCTTGAGAGGTGGCCCACATGTGCAAAGAGCATTAAATAACTTGTAACCTTGATGCATGGTTCACATGCGGGAAACACACTGGGCTTAAACATGGCCCTGTGATACCAGGCTTTGTCTATAAAAGCTGTTAGCTTACACATGCAAAGGGCTCCTGGGGAGGGGGGAGGGGGCGCCCCCTGATGGACTGAGGCTTCTGGACACTGCTGCTGTTGCTACTGCTGCTGTCACCTCTGATACTATTTATTGCTGCCTTTGCTGCTGCTGCTACTGTGGGGAATGAGGGGTGGGGGTGGGGCAGAGAGTCAAGGTGGCCAAGGGGCCTGCCACCACTGGGTAGGGGCAGAGCTGCTGCTGCCGAAGCCACTGGGCCAGCCCAGCCAGCCAGGTAATCTGATGCTACCCGTGCATCCCCTGTTGCTTCAATAAAGACTTGCCCTGGCCCCACTGAGGGGCTTCGAGGCCTTCATTCTCATCTGTAACCACTGAGAACCAGACAAGTTTGGAGCTGAGACCCTACACCTGTCCAGCAGTCCGGTGATTATGGCTCTCCCAGTGACAGGGGCTATCAGTCTGTATCCTGCCCGTGCTGACCTGGATATTTGAACTGGTCTTTTATAATGTCACTACCACCTTTTAGAACACACTCAGCATACTGCATTGTGAGAAAACGCAGAGGTAGGGGGCCCTCTCTGGTGGCACATCAGGTTAAAGTGCAGCACTATAAAGCCAGCTGCAGCCACTGCAACACGAGTTTGATCCCAGGCCTGGGAGCTGAACCACATGGCGGGCAGACCTCTCCTGACCTGCCCGCTGCTCCCCTCAGCAGTGTATTTTGTCATTCTTTCTGTTCTGCTCCCCACTGTCTCTGGTGAATCCTCTGACCGCCCCTGCATCTTATCCTGTACCCCAGTTCTGTATCTGTAAATAAATAAATATTTTTTTAAAAAAGGAGATGCAGAAATACGGTGCTACAACAAATATCTTCATTCACCAACAAATATCTGTACACAATAGTCTCATCTGTACAATCAGAAAACAGTAATAAAATTGAACAGAAAAACAATCAAGAAAATGAGTGTTGTCATTCTTCAAAAGTTCTAATCACATCAGTATTTAAAAACTGCTGTGACACTTCTATTAACTGAAAAGTGTTTTTAATTCTATCTGATCTGGGAGTGAGAGAATGGCCAAGACAGAAGACTCTTTTTTCATGTTGTCAGAGATGTGTGTGAAGAAGCCACATCATTCTAATTAGGAAAATCAAATCAGCTGTTTGTAAATAGCAGCTTCAGTGTAGAGATTTCATTTCCTAACTGCCTAAACACCAAGAGCTGCCTATTTCTCCCTCCTTCAGCACATATAGCTCATCCTGAACTGACAGGCTGTTGAGTTTCCCTGTTAAGTGCAGCTGGGCTCAGTTCTCATGCAGTGTGAGTATTCCAGACGTGCTAAAAGGCATTTGCACACGATGAACTTAATCTTGTCCTAGCATATCAAAATTACTATACACAAAAGGTATCACAACAAAGAATGTTAAGAATTTCAGCTTGAATTGTCCATTACAATTTAGGCTGTTTTGTTTTTTGTTTTTTTTAAAAGATTTGTTTATTTATGTTTACAGAACTGGGGTACAAGTCAGAAGTGTGGTGGTGAGAGACTTCACCAGAGACAGAGAGGGGAGCAGAACAGGCAGATTGATGAAGTACACTGCTGAGGAGAGCAGCGGGCGGGTCAGGAGAGGTCTGCCAGCACCATCTGGATTACCTCTGGGGCAGGAAGTTTCAAACTGATACTGAAGTGGCCTTAGCTTCTTAGTGCTGTACTTTAACCCGCTGCATCACCAGGGAGGGCCAGAGCCCTGGATTTTTAATAGAGTAAGAAATTCTGTAATGTTATCACTTGCCACCTATTTTTTTAAGATTTATTTTTTATTTATATGTGCATACAAGAATTGGGCTGTAGGCTAGAGGTGTGGGGGGTGAGAGGATTCATCAGAGACAGTGGGGAGGAGAACCGTCAGATTCACTGAAATATAATGCTGAGGAGAGTGGCAGGCAAGATGAGAGATTAGTTGCACCATGTGGATTAGCTTCCTGGTGGTAGATTGAGTTTGTGTTGCTGTGGCTAGCAATAGCTTGATAGTGCTGGAACTTTAACTTTTGCACCAGTAGGGAGACCCACCAATTGCCAATTTTAAATACTGCTGAAATGATAGGGAATATTCATAAATTGATGGCACGATGTAACCGGGGTCTGAAGCCAAAAACTGTTACAGATGGCGCCCCTGGAGGGGAGTACTGGTGAGGATGAATAGTACCAGGTGGATTAGGATTAATGCTTAAGGGTGGAAACCCAGGTAAGAAATATAGGGACTGCAGAAGCAACCCCCAGGATTTAGCGTTCATGATTTTGATGTTTTGGACCTTCAGAGATTCCACGGTCATCCATTTCTGCCCCCACCATGGTGAACGTCTAGAAGCCTGTTGTGGGCCTCTGAAGGCCATGGAAAGGCTTCCCACAGCCAACCACCGAGAAGAAAAATTGAGAGGTTTTGCAGGTAGCAGAGCGACTGAAACTGTTTCTAGTTTTCCTGATGTTACAACTTGTAAGGGAAGGGGAAGAGTGGAGCCAGGTGCTTTATGGGTTGCTGTGTGGGGGCTATTTGTTGAGTTGATCAGCTGCAGCTGCTGTTGCTGGGGGGGGGGGGGGGGCTGTGCTGGGCATTTCCCAGCTCTGGGGAGTATCTCCTGTTGTGTTTTCTGTTGTCCTTAAGAGTTGGATCCCAGCCTCTGCACTGACTGCTACATACTCTAGGTCTTCAGTAGTGGAAGATGCTATCTTGGGAGTCTTTGTTTGGGGCTTTGAAACACTAGACACTGCTCCAGGTGAGGTAAATGGCCATCTGTAGCCTCAGTGACTTTGTATTCCCTGTTTGTTAAATAAATCCCATTACTGTTGTTCTCTGAAACTGAGTGGTTGTGCAATTGAGTGCATGGGTGAAGAACTCAGTGACCAGTAAAGTATTTGGGCAGTTTTAGTGCCCCTTGCTGCCCTAAAGATATATATTCTCATATCGCTACCATAAAGAATATATACATATACATATATGTATGTATCAAATCAAAACAAACCAAAAATAATATAAATGTAAGTCTCCCATAGAAGTCACCTTCAATCTTATTTTTAATATGAACACTGACAAGTTACTTAAATGAAAATGTTAAGGGCAGAATATGGTTGGTCACAGGCATTTCTTTCATCAGTTATGTATCCCACATAATGCATCAACATAAGATTTTGAGATAAACAATTGGGGCATTCTATTAGAACCAAAGTTTTTCAAATACAAGGGTACTGGAATTATGTAACAGCTGGAGGAATGCCAGTCCACAAAAGAAAAACACAACAAGGAATCCGTCTCTGTTGAGTTCAACCCAAGAATAATTTGTTTACTCAGTATTATAATTCTAAGGTTTGTTATTGAAAACACCAATTCTAGGCAAGTAGCAGATATCTTTTGTGAATAAAAAAGTTTTTGTTTTTTTTTAAAGATTATTTGTGCATACAGAACTGGGGTACAGGCCAGAGGTGCAGGGGCGGTGAGAAGATTCACCAGAGACAGAGTGGGGAGCAGAACAGGCAGATAGACGAAGTACATTGCTGAGGGGAGCAGTGGGCAAGACCAGAGAGGTCTGCTGCAACATGTGGATCACCTCCAGGGCAGGCGGGGATCGAACTCATGCAGAAGTGGCTTTAGCTTCTTAGTGCTGCGCTTTAACCCACTGCACCACCATGGAGGGCCCTAAAAAAGGTTTTTTAAGTGCTAATGCTCAAATATTTGTAGACATTGGCTGGTGAAATCAGTTAGTATGTTCTTTTGATGATCATTACTTTGCTCTTAGAAATGATAATTACACAACATTACATAGTCTTTTAAAAAATATTTATGCATACAAGAATTGGGGTACTGACCAGAGGTACAGGGGGTTGAGGGGATTCACCAGAGACAGAGTGGGGTGCAGAACAGGGAGATCAACTGAAACACACTGCTGAGCGAAGCAGTGGGAGAGACAGGAAAGGTTTACCCCGCCATGTGGTTCATCTCCCTAGCCAGGGATTGAACTCATGCTGCAGTGGCTATGGATAGGTTCAACCTGCTGCGACACTCAGGGGAGCTTTAACCCACTGCGACACTCAGGGGAGCCCACCTTTTTGCTTTTGAATACATTGCTTTACTAAGGGAATGTAGGTCTAAAACCCCAGTTGGTAGATAGACTGAAAATGAGGAAATGGTTAGCATTAAGTCTGACCCACAGCAGCTTCCAAAGTCTGTAGCTTATGAAAATGACAGCAGGCAAAACTTCCCAAATAAAGCTCCAGGACTGCAGATATCCTCTGGTCATACTTAAACACTTTCTGGGGCCACGTGCATATTCTGAAGGCAGGAGAAACACCTGAAATGCTTATAGATTCTGCTTTCCTATGAACCGTATCTACTAACCATTTACCACTTTTTAAAAGTGGGTTCTCTTGGTCAACAGTATTTCACTGCCGAGTACCACTTTGCTTTTCAACACAGAGCACCTGTGTTGTGCACGTGGGCCACTCCTGAAGACTGCACACCTTGCTTCCTGCAGATTGGTGTATCCATGGATACAGCCAGGAGTTTCCAAAGAAACGGTGCTTAGGAGTCTCACCATGCTAGCCTTTTACTTCTTCAAATGGAAACTGACATGTAAATTAAAGGGACAGGCATCACTGCTAGCACTGAAACTGGGCCGGTTTGCCCACAGCCTTCCTTTCCTCACCATGCACTGACTTTGCATCGTTTTTTAAAAAAAATATTTTATTTTTGCACAGAAGTGGGGTGCAGGCTAGAGGTTGGGGGGAGGGTTAGGAGTCACCAGAGAGACTGGGGAGCAGAACAGGGGGATCTACTGAGATACCTTGCTAAGTGGAGCAGTAGGTATGAAAAGAGAGGTCTGCTGTACCATGTGGGTCAGCTTCTTGGCCGGGGATCAAACTCAGGCCCTTGCGGTGGGCTTTCATAGTGTTATTGCTGAGACATAAGTCTAGGCCACCAGAGAGGTCCAGTTGTGCATTACTCACTTATTTTTTTTTTTAAAGATTTATTTATGCATACAAGAGCCGAGTGTATGCCAGAGGTACAGAAGGTGAGAGGATGACCAGAGACAGAGTGGGGGCCCAAACAGGCAGATTCACTGAAATACACTGCTGGGGGGGGGGAGTGGGAGAGGCAGGAGACGTCTGCTGTACCATGTGGGCCACCTCCATGGTGGGGGATCACACGCATGCTGTGGTGGCTGTTGATAGCTTCATAGAGCTGCACTTTAACCACCTGTGCCACCAGAGAGGCCACGTTGCATCATTTAGAAATAAGTGGGCAGACAGAAAACAGGAAGAAATCCAATGTGGTCTTATATAGCCCTGGCATAAATTGCAGTGACCCTAAGGATACTCTTGTTTTCTGCACCAGTGATACATATTTTAATAACCAAGAGCTGAAGATTTGTAAATCAGGGAATAAATACAGAGAGGAAGATAAGTGGTATCTGAAACTGTATGTGCCCGATTTATTTTCCTAAATGAGAACTGAGGAACGGGAGGCAGAACCCGTTAGTAGGTTCCCGAGTCTATGATCAATAACATAAAGCAGTTAAATTAAGTATTTTACTCCAGACAGTGAACATCTGAATAAAGCAGCATTTCACCCAAGGAGAAAATTCATTATGATACATTTATCCTCCTGGATTCTTTTCACTAAGTTAGATGAAGAATCTATTCTTTTCTTTTTTTTTTTTTAAGATTTATTTATTTATTCATACAGAATTAGGGTACAGGCCAGAGATGCAGAGGGTGAGAGGATTCATCAGAGACAGAGCGGGGAGCAGAACAGGCAGATCGACGAAGTACACTGCTGAGGGGAGCAGCGGGCGGGTCAGGAGAGGTCTGCCACGCCATGTGGTCACCTCCGGGGCAGGCGGGGATCGAACTCATGCGGAAATGGCTTTAGCTTCTTAGTGCTGTGCTTTAACCCGCTGCACCACCAGGAGGGCCAAGAATCTATTCTTAAAAGCAAAGATAATTAAAATTTCTATCATTCAATGATTCTGGCCTGCAGGGGTGTATGTTTATGAAGTCAGTATAAGAGGATTCAAAATTTCCAAAAAATATTGCAAATTTGAGGCTTTTCAAATTTATTTAGTTCATAAAAGTATACCCTGCCCCCCCCCCCCATCCTTGGCCTTTCACACCACATCCTGCTGCGTAGCTTCTTCTGATTGTATCATGCTTCTTGCTGGAGTCCAGCCACTGAAAATGCAGACACGTGGTGGGAAATCAGCAGACCAACGGCGGCAAACACACACAAAGAGATGGAACAACGAGCAGTCTGCTCCAGAAGAACAGCAACAAGGTGAGTGCCTCAGGGGCACGGCTGCCTGGCGGCTGCCGCTGCTATACTACCGTTTCTTTCTGCCTCGAGTTCTGACACAAGCTGGACTATCTTTGGATGACTGAATCTTCCTGCAAAGAAAGGAGACAGAAAAAAATGTTGACAAGTGAAAACATCAGGGTTTTTCAGTGGCTCAGGGCTTTCCAATGACTCAGATGTGTGATCTGACTCATAGCCAGCTCCGGCGCTGAGATCTGGACTCTGGGCCTCAGAGAGGAGCCAATCAGGCAGACAGCTGTCAATCACGTGGAGCTGGGAGACCGAGGCAGTTCCTGAAGGCGCTACTCAGCAGCGCAGAAGCCAGAGAGCTGGAAACAAGCTCTGCCCGTTCCACGCCTACAATTAAGGAAGGGGGAGAACACCTACACAAAAAGACCAGGAGGAAGACTAGAGGCCTGAGGCTCTCCCAGGAAGCAAACATATCTCTTGCAAACACCTCACGTTGAAACCAGCTCAGCTGTGCGGATTCCCCTGCTCCTCCGCCCTATGCCTGCATTTCTGTGCCTGCAGCAGCAGCCAAGCCCCAGGCCAGCTCCAAGCGTAGGCGGCTAACAGGGGATCCTTAAGTCCACGTTTCTTCTCTGTCTTTTCTTGCAGGGCCCTTTACTACCTACCCCTCATTCCACATTAAGTCCTAGTCCGTTTATTCCCTACCCTCACCTCTTCTCTGAAGGTCCCCTTAACTTGCTCGTATTAACTGCTTTGTCTTGGGAACAACGGGCTTTCCCTGTGGCACCTCCCACGAGGAGGCTGTTCTTCTCTCATGTGGCTCTTCCCAAGGGCCCATGAGTGTCCTCCACACCCCTTGATTCCACGCCGTTTGGCCACGTTGTGTAAAGGTCAGGCTGTCGGACTCTGTCTGCCTCTGCCCTCCTGGTTCTAATTGTCTATAGAACCGCAAGTCCTTCATGCCAGGAAAATTAGAGCTTCGAGTTGATTGCCAGTCTCTTTAATATAAACCATGGTGATTCTTGGTGACTTTACTGCTTACAAAGGTGACCCTTCCAGGCTCATGGCCTCTCCCTCCGTACCCCCAGGCAGGCACACCTGGAATTCATCACAGTGGCTGTTGCTGAGCAAGAACTATCCCAGCTCTCCACCAGCCTCCATTTGTGCATTGGATCCCAGCCTGACAACCCTTCCCTTCCTTCTCCCCTTACTCTTTCTTACCAGCATATACACATGATTTTTGATCTTCCATCTTAAAAACAAGACTTTGCCTGGCCCTCCCTGGCTGCTCAAGGGGTTGGATGGAGCCCAGCACTGTGAAGCTGTCCGCAGCTACTGCAGCACAGCTGAGTCCCCAGCCACATGGTACACAGACCTCTCCTGCCGCCCTCCCTCAGCTGTATATTTCATAGTAGATCCACCTGTTCTGCTCCCTACTCTGTCTCTGGTGAATCCTCTCACCACCCCCACACCCCAGTTCTTGTGTGCATAAATAAGTAAATCTTAAACAATCAAACAAACAAGCCTTCCCCAACTACGCATCCCTCTCTAACTTACAGCCCCTTTAAGTAAATTCTCTAAATGGATCATTTATATTCACTGTCTTTGATTCCTTTCTTCCTATCATCTCTCTCTCTCTTTTTTTTTTTAAAGATTTATTTATTTGTAGAATTGGGCTACAGGCCAGAGATGCAGAGGCAGTGAGAAGATTCACCAGAGACAGAGTGGGGAGCAGAACAGGCAGATCGACGCGAAGTGCACTGCTGAGGGGCGCAGCAGGCGGGTCAGGAGAGGTCTGCTGCATCATGTGGGTCACCTCCAGGGTGAGGACTGAATTCATGCTGAAGTGGCTTAGCTTCTTAGTGCTGTGCTTTAACCTGCTGCGCCACCAGGGAGGGCCTCTTCCTGTCATATCTTAAATATACCCCAGTCAAGTTTAAAAAAAAAAATTAAGCCACCATAAAAAATGGCTCTTATGGAGACTCAGTCCATGATAACTACCCCTCTTTCGAAATACATTTTTCCCTTGGCTTCTGGGACCCCTGGGTTTTCTTCCCTCAAACCTTCTCTACCCCCCTGGCTTCTACATCTTTTGTTGTTAAGGTAGAAAACCTTGGACTCCTCTCATAAACATCCATACACAATGTTCCACAAGTCCAAAGGACATTGTTTTCAAAAGATATCTAGAATTTGGCCAGATAATTAATTTAGTTTAAAAAAAAAAAAGGATTTATTTACTTATGTTATGCATACATAAACTGGGACTAGGCCAGAGGTGTGTATGGGAGGTAGGATTGGTGTGAGAAGATTCACCAGAGACAGAGTGGGGAGCAGAACAGGCAGATCTACTGAAACACACTGCTGAGCAGAGCTGTGGGCGAGACAGGAGAGGTTCTGTTGTGCTATGTGGGTCAGCTCCCTGGCTGGGGATTGAACTCAGGCCACAGTGGTTGGCCATAGCTTGATAGCACTGAGGCTTTAACCTCAGCAAGGGGGTGGGAGGGGTTGAGGGGGTTGCCCTTGACAACTTCTTACTTTCTTTACCGCCATGTTGACCCAAACCGCTGTCACTTCTCCACTGGATATTTGTTAAGCCCCAAATGATCTCCCTGCTTTCTGTCTAAGTGATTCTTTGACAACACAAACCATCTCAGGCCACATCTGTCCCACTTCCTCCATGGTTTCTCCATCTCATTCAGAGCACAAGGCAACATCCTGGGCTGGGTAGCAAGCACAGTCTGCTTCTCCAGGTTCTTCTCCCACTTGCTCCTCTCACCACCCCCCGTCCCCCAAGCCACACTGGCTTCCATACTGTTTCTCAGCACACAAGCTTTCAAAAGAAAAGACAGAAAAAGAGGCCGCCAAGTTATAACTGAATTAGAGAAAAAGGGGTATCAGTGTTATCTAACTAAAATCTTTAAACCGCCTTTAAAATCAGGAGAGACAGGAGAGGGCTGCTGTCACTAACTTGGGTTAGTTTCTGGCCAAGACTGGGGCGGGGGTGAGAGTGCTGAAGTCCCGCCTAAGCCACAAGGGGGCAGTTTCTTAACAGAAGTAGCGCTCCAGCGTGGGAGGGCAGCATATCTCATTTCCTTCCTACGTACCACATCATGATGGCCACGCAGGTCCACTTGCTATCCATCACTACGCACTCAGGGGGCACAGTGAATTTTTCAAATCAGTAATGGAGGAGTCTCCATCTTTGTTGGCTCCATTTTCTTCCTTAAGAAAATGTGGCCGCAAGAAACCCACCTACCACGTGGAGACTAAAACCCCCACTACTGGAAGACCATTGGATCAATGAGGAGATCAAAGAAGAAATTAGAAAATACTTGGAGAAGAATGACAATGACGACACAAGTCTCCAAAACGTATGGGACAAATTAAAAGCAGTTATAAGAGGAAAATACATAGCAATACAAGCTCACATAAAGAAACAAGAAATAGCTCAAAGAAACAACCTAATGTCCCACCTTAAAGAATTGGAGAAAGGACAACAAAATAACTCAAAGCCAGTAGAAGACAAGAAATAATAATAAAACGTGGCCTTAAAACGACAGGGCCCAACGAGGTCACATATTGTTAATGACAATATTCTGATGCTGTTTTCTATTTTTCATTGCGATTAGACCCAAACAGAAGACAACGCTTTGTAAAATGCAAAGGAGCACATCAATGTGGCTTATATTTTAGTTCCACGATTGCTGAAGTACACTCAGCTGACGCTGGGAAGCCTCTTCTCAAAGAGCCTGGAAGCACCTGTTTGGCTGTGGGCTGCCTGAGCGCTGCGGCAACCACGTGACTCTACTGGGCACAAAGGCAGCACAAACAGAACGGAAAAAGTGTGTGTGGCTGCTTCAGTAAAACTCTATTTACCCAAACAGGCCGCGTGTCAATCTTGGCCACGGGTCAGTTTGCTGACCCTGGTTTGTAAACGTTAGTCTATTAAGCTGAAGCCAAACATTTTTGAGCACTTCCTATGTCAAAGACAGACAAGTCTCACGCGGCCCACTAAAGGGGTGGGGGAGCTGAATGCAGATCAGGCTGCCACTACACGAAGGCAGAAGGCAAGCTCGGACCAAACACAGACTGAGCAAAAGAGGGAGCCTTTAGCTCGATGGGAGGGTTGGACAGGAAACCGGAGACATGTGCCTTGGCCTGCCAAGCTTTTCAGACTACTCAGAAGTGTCGGGATGTTTTTTTAGGAAGAGGAAAGCCATTGAGTTTTGAAAGCAAAGATGTGATGATATCTGTGTCTACAAAGGAGGAAGACATTGAGACTTGGGATGAAGCAGCCAGGCTGGCAGGTTCAGTCTGACTTAGTTTCTTTTAACAACAGTCCAACAGAACTGGAGAGAGTTTAGGGCAGAGTTAGGGCTGAAAAAGAAGGGAACTGAATCAACTTCATTGTAATGCAAATTCTAATCCAAGAGCATTTGGTAAGGCCCTTGGAGAAGGGAAGAGTGACTGAGTTTTACTTCAAGGAGCTACTGCAAAAAACAGCCGTCACCAGCAGACTGCACTTAGCTCCTCACTCAAGAAACTGGATCAAAATGCAGCTAGCTGAAGCTCATGGGCAGATTCTAAGCATTTCACATGAATTAACTCACCACATCCTCCAGCAAGCCCCATAAATGAATTATCCATAATTATCCTCCTTTTAAGATTTATTTATTTACACATGGAAGAACTGGGGTGCAGGGTAAGAGATTCACCAGAGACAGAGTGGGGAGCAGAACAGGCAGATTGAGTGAAATACACTGCTGAGGGGTGTAGTCAGAGAGACAGGAGAGGTTTGCTGTGCCATGTGGGTTAGTTACCCCAGCCAGGGGATGTAATTCATGCTGCACTGGCTGTTGACAACTTGAATGTATCTATTATTTAACCTCTGCCCTGCAAGGAAGGACCAATTATCCTTATTTTAAAAACAAGAAAACTAAGATCTTGGTTCATTTCCTGGGTTAAGCATGGTTGAGTTTCCACAGGTTGTACTGGTAGAACCAGAATTCAAGTCAAAGCTGTTTGGCTCTAGAGCTTTGCTATGATGTGCTATAATGACGATGGTGATTTCAGCCATTCGGGGTTTTGTTTTTGAATCTCTATTCCTACTTCCATTTTACATCACCTTAAATCTATAAATGTGCTGTGTGGGCCAGTGGGTTAGAATGCAGCACTGCAAGCTGGCGGCAGCTGCTGCAGTGTGAGTTTGATCCTCTGCCCCAAGGTGATCTACATGGAGCGGCAGACCTCTCCTGAATCATCTGCTGCTCCCCTCAGCAGTGTGCTTCCTTGATCTGCCTGTTCTGCTCCCCACTCTGTCTCTGGTGAATCCTCTCACCGCCCCTACATCTCAATTCTGTATGCATAAATAAATAAATCTTAAAAAAAAAAAGCACTATCAGCTTACAAAGTATTTTCATATATGTCTCTCCTGAATCTCAAAAGCAACCTATGACTTAAGTAGGGTGAGAGTCAACATTTCCAATTTTCAGAGGACAGAGGCTCTGAGAGAGATCAGAAGGCTTCCTGGGGCACACAGCTGCAGGCACAGACACAGAGCTGCACTTAGTTGAGATTCCAAGGGGCGACACTCACACACCAGGCCTCCTCTCAACACGAACCCCACCATTTTCTTTTGAAATGCTCCTTATGGAAGGCTCAGAAAAGGGCAACGACAGTGAGTGTCACAACCGTAACCTCAGCCGTTGCACTAGGAGCAAGCCACACTCACATAATGCTTATTGAAAGCAGCACCGAGTACCTGCTGTGGAATCATAGAAGTCCTGCAACCTCCCGGGCTTGTTCTCAAGGTTTTCATATTCAGCAGCCTGAAGAATCATCTCACACTGGTCCAGCTGCTTCACAAATCTGGCTTCTGCAGTAGACTGGGTCTCATACTCCTAAGCAAAGAGACAACAGCAGCAGCATGAGTAAAGCCACGCGACAGGATGTTCCAGGATGCTCTGATTCTGGTACCTGAAATTGGAGTCACAGCTCCGAGCGCATTCTGCATGGGCCACTGTGTGTCAGCTAGACCTCAGCAGCCTGTTTGGCCACCATTTTGTTGCCAGCAACTCTGCATTCCTATACAAGGTCAGAACTGCCCAGTCACTCAGTCACAGGAGGACAACCTTTCAAGGTGCCTTTCAAACCAACCAAGAGCAGACAGCTGGGTCACCCTAGCCAGGCTATGCATCGTGAGGTATGACTGGGAACACCTGAGGGGCTGGGGAACAATGTATGACAAGACACCCCTGAAGCTGACCAGTAGAACACTTTGTTTCTGAGATTGGAACCATGGACAGGGGCTTGGGACTATTTCAGTGACAACACTTGGTTGTCAAGCAGGTACAAATTATCTGGTCCTCAGACTCACAGAATCACACTGTGTGATTATTCCATCAATGCAGTGGTCCGGATCTTGCTTGTTCAACAGCATTCTGCACTGTGCAGCCTGTTCCACAACTCCCGTTATCTCTCCACTGTATACAAAGCCCTTCACTGTATACAGATGCTTCCCTTGTAGCTTCACAGTTCAACACCAGCTCTCCACGCGAGAGGTGGGCCACAACACCATGCAGTCCAAAAGGCGCCCTGGAAGGCTCTCGACGCTTTCAACTTCTTTTCCTCTTGTTTAATATCTTATTTCAAGATCATTTTTCATTAACCCACCTTAGTGATTTAGATCTTTTAAACTTCAAATTAACATTTCATTTTATGCACCTCAAATAATTTCTGCTGCCATTTACTGTCAGGCTCCTTTTAAATGAATTTAGCTTTCTCATTTCAATTGGGTTGCCACTTTATAGCAGGAAGCTCTGCCCTTACTTTCCAAATAGGGAGGACTGAATCACCTCCCTCTGGGACCTGACTTGAGGGTACATTTTAGACCTGCGAATTTCTGTGCATGTGTTGGTGACAGGAAGGAGTAAAGTAGAGCAGGGGAGTAGCTTTTCCCTTGTCCTGTTCCCACTGCTCCCTTCCTCCTCAACACAAATCTGAAAGCAGCAGCTACGGGAGGTCTGCTGCTCGGAGCATGACACATGTCACACAACCACAAGTCTCCATTAAGACTACCACAGAATCACTCTTCTATTAAGACCAAAGTGTTCCCAACTGGTTTCCCAGCAAAGTCTCATTTGTAATTCCACCCCAGATGTGTTTGGATAATGAACCTGTCATGCTTTCTTGGTGGGGTGACGTGATGTGAATTACTGAAGGTTTCTTCATTTTTATTAGATGCCTTATTCTTATAAAAGCAGCTGTTAGGATTTAACAGAGCTTACAACAATAGGGGGACATCATTTTAATGTAAAGTCAAATACATTTTGTTTTACTTCAAAGGTACTTAAAAATTAATTTGCTTAAATATTTATTAACATTTATAGTTATATATTTATGTTTGATAAATCCAAGTTAACATTATTTGGTGAAAAGAAATGGAATGCTCTAAGCATAGCAATTCAAAATTTTTCCCTGTGAAAATTAAGAAAAAAGAAAATTAGGAAATGTAAGGCATTTTCTAACAAATATTGGTGAAATTAAATGTTTCTTTTAAAAATAAGAATTGTTGGAATTTCCCCCCAAAACATAACAATACAAGCATTCTAGAATATCACTTTCCAATATGGAGGCAGGGCTATATTATACTATAAAACCCTAAAGTCAAATAGGAACCAAGATCTTTGGAGAACTAACTGCCAATAGCTCCTCATAATAAAATGAAGAATTGTGAGGAGGAAGAGAAGATGGGAGAAGCTACATGGGGAGGAAGAGCGCTATTTCTCTGAAAGACCTTTGTGTTCATGCTAAAAGACCTTAGCTTATCGGGACTTAGTGGAAACCAACAGAGATTTCAAGCAAGAAGGGTCATGGTCAGATTTGCATTTTAGAAAGATCATCTAGCTTTCGTGTGGGAAATGGCTGCATGAAAAATGGTTCTGGGCCCTCCTTGGTGGCACAGCAGTTAGGATGCAGCATTGCAAGTGAGCTGCAGCTGCTTAAGTGCGAGTTCGATCCCTGGTCCCGGAGGAAGTCCACATAGCGTGGCAGACTTCTCTGACCTGCCCACTGCTCCCCTCAGCAGTGTGCTTCCTCAATCTGCCTGTTCTGCTCCCCACTTTGTATCTGGTGAATCCTCTCGCTGTCCCTGCACCTCTGGCTTGCACTCCAGTTCTGTATGAATTAAAAAATGAATCTTAAAAAGGAAAAAGAAAAAAAAATGGTTCTGAGACTCTGCAGCACTAGTAGGAAAGTTGAGACTATGGTCTGGCCTAATATGGTGGCAGTGAAGGTGGGGAGAAGTGGAAAGACTTGAGAAATGTTAATGATAAAGAAGTGAACCAATCTTTGAAAAAATAAACAAGATAGACAGGCCACTAGCCAGGCTCACAAAGAAAAAACAAGAGAAAGCACAAATAAACAGGATCATAAACGAAAGAGGAGAAATCACAACAAATCCAGCAGAAATCAAAAGAATAATCAGAGAATACTATGAACAGCTATATGCAAACAAGTTCAACAATTTAACAGAAATGGACATATTCCTACTCTACAACTACCCAAAGCTAGATAAAGAAGAAATAGAACAACTAAACAGACCAGTTACAAGCAAGGAAATAAAATCCCAGGATCAGATGGATTTACAAATGAATTTTACCAAACATTCAGGAAAAAACTAGTGCATATTCTCCACAGACTCATCCAAAAAAATCAAAAAAGAAGGAAAACTACCAAATACTTTCTACGAAGCCAACCTCACACGAATACCAAAATCTAACAAAGACACACAAAAAGAAAATTTCAGACCAATCTCTCTAATGAACACTGATGCAAAATCCTCAACAAAACCTAAGCCAACAGAATCCAACAATGGATTTAAAGAATAATACACCATGACCAAGTGGGCTTTATCCCAGGAGCAAAAGATAGTTCAACATCAGAAAATCAATTAACATAATCCATCACATCAACCGACAGAAAAATAAAAACCATATGATCATATCAATAGATGTGGAGAAGGCATTTGACAAAGTTCAACATCCATTTATGTTTAAGGCCCTTGAAATCCTCAGAATAGAAGGAACATACCTCAACATGATGAACGCCATGTATGACAAACCCACAGCCAATATTATCCTCAATGGCGAAAAGCCAAAAGCCTTTCCTTTGAGATAAGAACAAGACAAGTGTGTTCACTATCGTCACTGCTCAGCATAACATGGGAAGTTCTAGCAAGAGCAATGAGACAGGAAAAAGATATACAAGGAATCCAAATAGGGAAAGAAGAATAAAACTGTCCTTATTTGCAGATATGTTAATTTACATGGAAAGCCCTAAAAACTCCATAGAGAAATTAATCAAAACAATCAACCAATTTATAAGGCAGCAGGTTAGAAAATCAACATACAAAACTCAGAGGCCTTCCTATACACAAACAACCAATCAGAAGGACCAGAAGTTTAAAAAAAATCCCCTTTTCAATTAAAACAAAAAGGATTAAATACCTGGGTATCAACCTAACAAAGGAGGTAAAAGACCTATACAAAGAAAACTACAAAACACTATTAAAAGAAATACAAGAAGATACCAAGAAATGGAAAGACATCCCCTGCTCATGGATCAGGAGAATCAACATCTTAAAAATGGCCATTCTACCAAAAGCGATACACAGATTTAATGCTATCCCAATAAAAGTCTCAATGACATTCTTTAAAGAAATAGAACAAATATTGATGAGATTCATATGGAACAACAAAAGACCTTTAATAACCAAAATTCTCATTACTAAAAAAGAGAATGGAGACATCACAATCACAAACTTCAAGCTATACTACAAAGCCATAATAATCAAAACTGCATGGTACTGGAACAAGAGCAAGAACATACAGACCTGTGGATTCAAATAGTAAACCCAGATATAACCCACAGGTTTATGGGCAGAATTATAAAAATGTGTAAGACAATGAGAGTCTCAGCACAGAGTAGAATAGTATTCCAACAATTCATGTCTACTTGAAGCCTATGAGTGTGACCTAAATGGGAAATAGCATTTTTGCAGATCTAATCAAGGAAAGATAAAGCCATACCAGATCAAGGTAAACTTTAATCCAATGACTGGTGCCCTTATATGAAGAAGGAAACATGGGCACAGATACAAACACAGGGAGAAAGCTACCAGATTATGGGGGAGGTGAGGATGCTAGTCTATCAGCCAAGGAATGCCCAGCCAGGAGCAGCATGTGCCAGAAGCCAGGCAGCGGCCGGCAGGGCTTCCCCGCAGCCTGCACAGTGGCTCTGCCGGCACCTTGCCTTTGGACTTCCAGCCTCAATACTAGGACAACTGATTTTTTGTTTTAAGTCTTCAAGTGTGTGGTAATGTGTTGCAATAGCCCTATGAAGCCCTAGAATAGTCTGTTACTACCAGTGAGAAGTAACAAAGTACTATACATTTTTTTTTTTTTTAAAGATTTGTTTACTTATACATACAGATCTGGGGTACAGGCCAGAGGGGCGGGGACGGTGAGCGGATTCACCAGAGACAGAGTGGGGTGCAGAGCAGGCAGAATGATGAAGTACACTGCTGAGGGGAGCAGAGGGTGGGTCAGGGGAGGTCTGCCGTGCTAGGTGGATCACCCTCAGGCTGGGGATAAAACTTGCACTGACTTGGCTGTAGCCAGCTTGCAGTGTGGTGTTTTAACCGGCTGCAACACCAGGGAGGGCCCGTACTTTAAATTCTTAAGCAGCATACAGCATAACCATATTGATGAAAATGCTGAACTAGGTGGATGGTGGTTGCCTAGTTTTGTTGGCAACTTGCTAAATCTGGGCAAGGTGAGGAGGCTCTTCCACTCTTATTTGTCTTATTGAAAAGGAAAGGATCCTTTTCAATTCTACCTTTACAAAATACTAACATATAAAGAGTTAAAGAGAGAGACTAGAATGATAATTAAAAATAGTTAAGCAAATTAAAAAGCAGTCACAGTATGGTACCAAAAGTGTGTGTGTGTTGTGTGCATGTGCAACATGAATTCCTGGAGGAGAGAGAGAGTATCTTGCTAAGCTTACTGGAAAGATGTTCCACAAACTAAGTTACTTAAGAAACAAAATTTGTATTGTAAGTCAAGACGTGGGCAGGGTTGGTACCTTCTGAGGCTATGAAGGGAGGGTCTACTTTGGGCCTCTCTCTAGAAAGATAGCTGTCTTCATGTACACACGGCCTTCCTGGTCTCTGGGTGTTCAAATTCCTCTTTTGAAAAGGACACAGTCATACTGCATTAGGGCTCAAAGACCTCATTTCAACATGATTTCCTCCTGTCTCACCTGCTGCTCCCCTCAGCAGTGTACTTAGTAGATCTGCCTGTTCTGCTCCCCACTCTGTCTCTGGTGAATCCTCTCATTGCCCCTGCATCTCTGGCCTGAACCCCAGTACTGTGTGATAAATAAATAAATCTTTAAAAAAACAAAAGTACACTCTTTTTCCTTATTTTTAGACCTAGCAACAGATATCAACTGAGTCAGGGTCCAGGTGAGATAGCACACATATTTTGACATTTAAATTTCACAATGATTTGACAAAGGAAATATTAAAGGCCCACACTCTCTTATCTTAAACTTTGAGGCCAGAACTGATTCAGCTTTCAACATCTTTTTATTTTAAAATACAATATGGTACACAGAGTGATCAAAGGACATTAATTATCACATCAAAAGGGATGTGTGGGGATCTACATAGCTTTAAGTGCCAAATGAGTTCAGGTTGGGTGAGCTTTTGAAAAACCTGACTTTCGGGTCCTTCCTGGTTGTGCAATGGGTTAGGATGCAGCACTGCAAGCTGACCGCAGCAGCTAAAGTGAGAGTTCGATCCCCGGCCCTGGAGGTGACCACATGGCGTGGCAGACCTCTCCTGACCCGCCCACTGCTCCCCTCAGCAGTGTACTTCATCGAGCTGCCTGTTCTGCTCCCCATGCTGTCTCTGGTGAATCCTCTCACTGCCCCTGCACCTCTGGCTTGTATCCCAGTTCTGTATGAATAAATAAATAAATCTTTAAAAAAAAAAACCAAAAACTGACTTTCTGAGCTTTGTAAATTTCCAAACTGTGGCTAAGGAGATGTGAAGTTACATTTTCCCATTTTCTAGAGGGCAAATGGGTTGACTCAAGTGAAGAATTCACCCAGAATCACCTGGAGTGAAGCCATGAGCTGGAATTCACATCCAAGTCTTTCCAGACATAAACCTCTGTTCTCTCCAACACACTCTGCTGCCTTAAAAGCACTAGTCCACCCTATCATTCGGCTCAACCACAGAAATAACAGTGTATAGCAGAATGTGACCGCTGCATAAAATGGCATGTCTAGAGAAATACCTGTTCAGAGTTGTTACCTGAATTTCTCATCTCCCAAATCAAGGGAAGACCTGGCCCAGCACACCATGGGTGGGTGAACTCAGGGTGCTAAGGGGAACACAAGGGAGGGTGGCATCTCCGGATATGGGGAAAGAAAGGCAGAAGATGGGGCTCCAAAGACATGAGAATGGAATAGGTCTTTGAAGGAAATACAGAAACGAGAGTGGGGTGAGTGGAAGGCAGGACTGGCTGAGAGTAAGGAATGAGAGTGACCCAAAAAGGGAAGGTATAGGAGCAAAGTGAGAAGCTCCAGAAGCAGAGGTTTCTTCGTTGTCTTCCCTTCACAAATGAAAAGCAGCCCTGGGAGGGGGCGCAACAGGGCCCAGGGGCTTTCCCGCCCGTTCTCTCTTCCTGCCCTTCCCCTGCAGTCACTCTGCTCCTACCTTCTTGCCGTGGGCCACACTGACATGTCTGTCCTCTGCTGGGCATCAGGGCAGCTCTTCCCCCTGACCTCATCCAGCCCTGTTAACCCTTCAAGATTTCTTTCACAAACAGAAAACAGACTCACAGGAAGAAGTGCTCAGGTCACTGAGCCAAAAGGTGATGAGGTGGGAGTCAAACCGGGTTCTATTCTTTCCAAGGACTAGAAATGGGTGGGTGGGTGCAGTGATATTAAGGTAGAAGGTAAAGAGCCACGTATCAGGAAATTCCCAGGCTGTGAGTTAAGGTCCACACCAGGTATTTCGGTGACAAAGGAAATGGGCAAATTGGAAAAAAGAGAAATTTCTATTAGCTATGAGATCCTATAGCAGCTGATGAAGAGAAACAGGTGTGAAACAGGGAATAGTAGGTCAAAGATAGCCAGTTAAGATAAATCCAAGTCAACTAAAACATTGATGAATGGTGTATATTAAGTTGCAATAAATCAAAGGCAACCTAACATATGTACTTACATCCCAAAGTCCATAAAGCTCCTTTCTGAGATCCTCTGGTAGAAGCTGGGTAAGCTGCTTCATCGCTTCCTGAAATAGCACACATTATTTTAATCATGTTCACATTTATTTAAGTGGACAACTTAGATTAAAAAAAAAAAAAACCAGTAATGAACTCAGATTCTTACAAAAGCTATCAATGAGGCAGCAGAATAAATTGAACTATATTGGACAATATTTATAGTTTATAAGGAGGGCAGCTATGTACACTAAGTAATGAAGTTTATTTATATGGACTTCACTGGACACTGATTTTGTGGCTTGCAGTACACTAGACACAAAAAGGAAAAATGAGCAGTGAGACAATTATAGAAATATCACAAATGAGGACAGGAATTTTACATCTTATGGATAAATTACAAGATGTCCTCATAAATTCCCATCATAAGCAACTAGAGCTCAAAACAAACCTGAGTGGGGGAGAATAGGAGAGTAGTGCTGAATTACAAAGATCAGAAAGATCTGTTTGAGCAGTAATTTGTGGTGCAGTAGCACATTCATTTTCTAATTTTAATATATATGTATATATTTTATAGATTTATTTATTTATGCATACAGAACTGGGGTACAGGGGTGAGAGGATTCACCAGAGACAGAGTGGGGAGCAGAACAGGCAGATTGACTGGAATACACTGCTGAGGGTGGCAGTGGGTGGTCAGGAGAGGTCTGCCATGCCACGTGGGTCACCTCCCTGGCCGGGGATTGAACTTGTGCTATAGTGGCTGCAATAGTGCTGTGCTTTAACCCACTGTGCCATCAGGGAGAGCCCTTAATATATTTTTATTGAAAATTTAAAGTGCTACACAGTGGGCAGTGATCGTTAACATCGAGGATACCACAAATAGAATGTTGGATGCTCAGTCACAGGCTGAAAAGGGACACTTAAGGGCAACTAACCAAACCACCCATGAGTACATGGACCTTTCACCAGCATCACAGAAACTTCTTGTCTCCCTCCATGTTCAGAGGAAGGAATACCTCTTAGGTAGTTTTTATATTAAGCTGCAAAAAATTGTTTCCACAGTTCTTCTACTCTGCCTCACCCCATCCATCCTGTTTCCTCCCAAATACACATATATATTTCAAACAGGTGGTCGGAGCTAGGCCAGACTCTCTGTGGCCACAGTGACTGGTCCAAAGCCATGTACCAAGAGCCATGTACCTCAAAGCGGTCACTAGGGGGCCATCTGCATGACTGGCCCAGCAGAGACGGGAGAAAAGAATCACAAGTCACACCAAGTGGTTTTGGCACAAAGTGTTTATGAGCCCAAGAATCACTGAATAATGTGCAGTCTTTTCTGTAATAATATATCCTTCTTACCACATAAACCCTGTGCTCCTTATGCCATCATTCTTTTTGTAGTCAGCAGTTGTGATAAATAAAAATAGAAAGATTGGGCCCTCCCTGGTGGCACAGCGGGTTAAAGCATAGCACAAAGAAGCTAAAGCCACTTCTGCATGAGTTCGATCCCCTCCTGCTTAGGAGGTGACCACATGGCGTGGCAGACCTCTCCTGACCCACCCGCTGCTCCCCTCAGCAGTGTACTTCGTTGATTTGCCTGTTTTGCTCCCCTCTCTGTCTCTGGTGAAGCCTCTCGCCGCCCCTGAGCCTCTGGCCTGTACCCCAGTTCTGTATGCACAAATAATCTTTAAAAAAAAAAAAATAGAAAAGTTGGGCCCTTGCTGGTGGCACAGCATGTTAAAAGCTCAGCACTACAAGCTAGCGGCTGCCGTTTCAGTGCCAATTCAATCCCTACCCCGGAGGTGACCACATGGCGTGGCAGACCTCTCCTGACCCGCCCGCTGCTCCCCTCAGAAGTGTACTTCGTCAATCTGCCTGTTCTGCTCCCAGCTCTGTCTCTGGTGAAACCTCTCATCCTAGTTCTGTATGCATAAATAAATAAATCTTTAAAAAAAAAAATAGAAAAGTCACAAGTCAAAGCCTGAGATTAAACATCCAAAGAAAAAGCAGGGATGAGAGAACAAGAGAGCTAAGGGGATTCTATACTTGTTTCCCAAGCCCATCATCTTTCTTCGTCTGTCTTTCATTTGTGTTGCTTCAGTATACTTCTAAAATATTACATGTTAGGGATATAAAATCTACAACTTAATGTTAAGTGACTTCAAAATCTTCACCATCTTCATCCTATACCTTTTAATCTGCTTCATTTCTTCTAACCACAGCAGTTAGGCTTTTTTGAAAAGGTACATGATAACCACCACTGTTGGCAATACAAAGACCTTAAAAACCAGAGTAGGAAAAAAGCACTGATTCCAAAAAACAAAAATTGTATATATTTATTATTAGGAAGAAAAAACTAAGTAAGGACTACAACCACTTCTAAAGTAAACCAGGTTTGCCACTGTTAACAATCAGCTCTTACAAGTAAGGTCATCATCTTGTCATCTCGAATAGCTAGTTATGGAGCAGCAGGGTAGGAGGAAGCTACATTCAATCCCTTATCGTAGGTACATTAAAACCTACACTTTTAGAATGCGCACACAAACGTCCCGCTTTCTATTTAAAATGATCTATCCATCAATGAAATCCTCACCTCCTTTATGCTAGATGCTTTATTTGTATAAATGCGCTTAACACTGAAATGACTTTTTTAGAAATCACATCTACTTATTGACTAACAAGCTTCCTGTCAATGATAATCACCAGATCCCTTGGGGAAAAAACCAAAACACAAACTTATTGCTCTGTTCCTGAAACTGAACAATAATTTTCTGGATCTAAGCTCTGTGATAGCCAGAATTGCATTTTCAGACCGCTTACCTCACCAATCTTGTTTGCCAGCATATGGCACAGAATCATATCTATCTTTTTTTTTTTTTTAATATTTATTTATTTATTCATACAGAACTGGGGTACAGGCCAGAGGCTCAGGGGCGGTGAGAGGCTTCACCAGAGACAGAGCGGGGAGCAGAACAGGCAGATCTACGAAGTACACTGCTGAGGGAAGCAGCGGGCGGGTCAGGAGAGGTCTGGCTCGCCATGTGGTCTCCTCCGGGGGCAGGCGGGAATCGAACTCATGCGGAAGTGGCCTCAGATTCTCAGTGCTGTGCTTTAACCCGCTGCGCCACCAGGGAGGGCCTCATATCTATCTTTTAAATGACCTTTCTGAAATTCAGTAACATCTAGGGCACAGGAGCCTCCATTCCTGATGATAAGCTCTGCCCATCACCTCTCTACACTGACTTTCATCTTGTTCACACATAGATTTAGCATCTTCCCGCTAGCACAGCATGTCAAAAAATGTCTCAGGTTTTGAGTGGAATGAAGCTTTCAGCAAATGTCTTGTGTCAGTTTTATGACAACATCTTGAAAGCACAATTCACCATTCACACATCATTAGTGAGGCTGTTAACTGCAAACTACAGACCCTGATGGTTTCCATTTGGACCTCTGTGTAAGTCGTTCAGACCTCTGTCCTTCAGATTTATCACATTTAGTGTGGGGTTAGTAATAGTACACACCTGAAAGGGCTGTCGTGAAGATTAAATAGTTAACATGTCTAAAATGCTCATAATCAGGCACACTAAAACCTGTATATTTCATTTTCTCCATTTTGACCTGGTCACGTCTGTGATCGTGGGTTCTTCCCTTAATCTTTCAGTCATTTAGAAACCTTAATCCTCACACCCATATGTCACCCTGCTGACTTTCTTATTTTTCTCTTTGCAAAGGAATATAACCTGCCATCCCTGTATTCCAGCTTCACGTTCCATCCCACAAACTGTGTTTTTATTTTTTAAAATTTGTTTGCATTAAGGTAACATTGGTTTACAACACTGTATATAATTCAGAAATATAGGATCCCACCTCTTCAGGTGTATGTTGCCACACCACACTCTCCACCAACGCTGTCCCACTAGCTGTGTGTTTTTGCTACCCCTCACCATTTACCAGCGCAGGTTATAGCAGAAAGGGCTTTTCTGTCCTGGTTAGGAAGGGGGTTGCTTTTGGCCACTTATCCTTTTCCTTTTATGTCCTCATTCTCCCTCTCATCTTAATACTTATTCTCTAAAACAACCAGTCTTCCAGATTTATTGAATATTTCTCCTCTCTCTTAACTTCAGTCTTCAACCTTCCTGAGCAGTCAGCTACCATGGGCCAATGAAGCCGCAAGTCTCATTTTGGGCATTCCACCTCAAGCCAAGAAACCCTCATTTAATTATGTTAATGCCTGGTTCAGATATCCAAACCTTGTCCCCAAACACCATCTGCATAAACAGTCTCTTTTGATTCCCAAATCCTAGCCAGCAGCAGGAAGAGGCAAGGGGATACCAGTACTCTCCAAGCCTTTAGTTTCTTAGCCAAGAACTTGTGTTCCCTTATGATGCTTCTCCTATCCTTCTTCTTCTTCTTTTTTTTTTTTTTTTAAAGATTTACTTATTTATACATACAGAAATGGGGTACAGGCCAGAAGTACAGGGGTGGTGAGAGGCTTCACCAGAGACAGAGTGGGGAGCAGAACAGGCAGATCGACGAAGTACACTGCTGAGGGGAGCAGCGGGCAGGGCGGGCCAGGAGAGGTCTGCCACGCCATGTGGTCACCTCTGGGGCAGGATCAAACTCACACTGAGGTGGCCTCAATGGGGGGCGGGTATCTCTCTTATCTTTATCATGACATTGACTCCTTTGTGAACTTGAGCAGCCAGGTTTAATGAGGCAGGAAAGGTTGTATTCTCTCCAGGGTATAGGCCCAGGGCAAGAGCAGCACCCTGATTGTTTACATATCCTCTCTGGTGCACGGCCAGGACTCAGTCCTTCTTGGGCAGAATAGATTTTCTCTCATCTCCAGTAGCTGGAGATCATTTCTAGTGACTTGCTCCTCTGTGAGGAAAGCTCTTTGGTGAGCTAAATTATTTACATTTATATAGATTATTTCATCAACATTATTTATTTTCTTTATTATTTATTTCCCCATCACCTCTGATTTTCCTTATCACCTGTCATCCCCTGGTTCAAAGCTAATTCCCTTCTGCAACTCAGTTTCTTGATCTAATTAGTTTCTTTTTGAGTTAATTCTGCCAATCAGCCCAGACATTCTTCATTTACCACAGCCTATTTTGACAGAGAAACATTTCCTTAGCTTCTTCCTTTTTCAGACTGTTGTGACATTCTCTCTGTATTCTGATCTTTTCTTTATTTGGTAGGAAGAGTATATTCCTTATACCATTTTCCTTGTTCCCCATACTCTAGGATGGGTTGGAACTCCCAAATTAGGATTCCTTGTGTATCCTCTTGCCTCTAGGGGCAAAAATGCTGCTAGTTACTAAACTCTGTTTTTTTATCTGCTTTACGAATTTATGTAAGTCGGGCCCTCCATGGTGGCGCAACTGGCCAGGATGCAGCACTGCAAGCTGGCAGCAGGCACTTCAGTGCGAGTTTGATTCCCAGCCCCGGAGGATCCACATGGCGCAGCAGACCTCTCCTGACCCGCCCGCTGCTCCCCTCATCAGTGTACTTTGTCAGTCTGCCTGTTCTGCTCCCCACTCTGCCTCTGGTGAAGCCTCTCACCACTCGTGCACATCTGGCTGTGCCCCAGTTCTGTATGAATAAATAAATATTTAAAAAAGATGAATTTATGTAAGTCAACTACACATTAATCATTTTAAATAAAGGATCTGTCCACTGAACAATTTAGGACCAATCTCTCTGAGTTTACAACAAAAATAACTTGCAAGAATAATTTCGGACCAACCTCTCTGACTTTACAACAAAAATAACTTGCAAGAATTCCTGAATTGAACACCAGCTATTTGATATTTAAAAAAATGTCTTCCTGGGGCCCTCCCTGGTGGCGCAGCGGGTTAAAGCACTGTACTGAGAATCTAAAGCCACTTCCGCATGAGTTC